GCCTCTCCACTTTTTGAAAACCATCATCATCCGGGGTCACCTCCGGTTTGTCTCCTCCGGGATTGGTTGGCCCGGTGTTTGAGGAGCTAGCAATCTCCATCGGGCAAGGGTTTTCCTCTTTGTTCTCCTCCTTGGTGCTATCTTGTTTTGAGTTGCTCCCTTGACACATGTGTTCATTTTTCTCATCTTCTTTGGTGGTCTTTGCCTTCTTTTTCTCGTGGGCATTGACCTTGAGAGTGTCCTCCTCGGCTTTCTTTTCCGGATGGTCTACATTCCCATGCTTTTCCGGTTCCCCATTTGCTTTTTTGCCCTTCATGTGGGCCGCATACTTACCACAATTCGAGAGAGAGTGGCCGATACACTTGCAATGGGAGCAATAATGTGGGACATATTCATACTCCACCTTTTGTTCGAACAATAGCCCATCCTTACCATTAACGGGGACACTAAGGGTCCGCTCTTTTGAGAGGTCAAGCTCTACTAAAACCCGGGCATAATTCCTTCGAGCACGTGTTGCCGTTAACTTGTCGGTGGAGATGGGTTTACCAACACACGAGGCTATTTTGGCGATAGCTTTGGCATTCCAACACTCTCCGGGCAAGAACGGGAGGTTGATCCAAGCGGGAACCACCTTGATATCATCTTCCCCAAATTGGAACCAATTTGGAAGATTTTTTAGGATGAGCCCCCTTCCATATATGGTGTAAGGTCCCCCTTGAAGCACTTTTACTCTATCATCATCGGTTTTAAATTTGAAAACAATCCACCCATTGACATTGGGGACAATCTCGAACTCTACGTTCCAAGTCTTACATAACTTTAGGAGAGCATCTTTCCCGAGGTGCCTTTGGGTAAAATACCCGACTAGGCAAAAGCCCCACGTGTCGGTAAGCTCGGAGATGTCCTCCTCTTCAAGGAACGCGCCTCCTTCTTTCGGCGGGATATAGTCCAATTTGAGGCCTAAGGAGGGTTTGCGATTATCGGCAAAGAGGGCCGAGAAGGGCCTCTTTTGTGTAGCGGCATTCTTTTGAGGCTTCACCAAGTTTTCCTTTACATTTTCCTTTTGAGGCATTTTATCAAACACCTTGTGGGTGTCTTTTTTGCCTTCACTTGTTGCTATCTCTTGATTACCCTCTACTCCCTCCAACATCTCAACATCAAATCCCATGTTCACAAGATCATCAACAACATTATCTTCATTAGTGAGCTTACCTTTGGATATGGGGAGCCCAAGAACACTCTCGGCTTTGGAACAACCGGCGGTATTTTTGGTTGCAAGTGGTGTCGTGGTCTCTTTTTCCATGGATTCAAAATCGTCGATGTCCTCGGTGTTGTCAAGAATGAGGCGGCGGTATGATGCTTTTCTCTTGCTCCTAGCCATTATGGATCTTCGGCTTTAGGAGTTTCAACCATGGAATTGTTCGTTGTGGGCGGAATTAAGAACGGGTTAAGCACTCAAAAACACTCAAGATCAAAGAGGTGAAAGTTCAAATTGTTCAAGCCCTAGAAAGCAAGATGATTTCTAGTGAGAGAATGTCTCTCTTCTCTCTAACTTGACACTCAGCCGTAGCGGACGTTACCTTATGTATGTGAATATTGAATTAATGAATCATGTATGTGAATATTGAATTAAAATGTTGAACGTGAATCATTTGATGGTGTAAATTAACCTAAGTTTTTTTTACCGAACCTTAGGCTTGAGCTTTTATCTCTACTCGTTAATCAAAAGAGCTCATTTTAAACGAACTAACCCAAGCTTTTTGTGCTTGACTTCTGGTTTGACCCTTTATCGCGTCTCGTTACTCAGACGAGCTAATAAATGAGTTTGATCTCGTTTATCAATATTAATGAACAAGCTATAACTTTAATGAGCCGAGTTAAGGCAAAACTTCAAAAAATCATATAAAATCCCTATTTTGAATACTTTTTGTTTATCAACACACCAAGAAAAAAGAAGGTTAAAAAAAAAACACTATGCAATTCAATTAGACATGACAAATTGACAACATACATTTTTCAAAAAACAAGAACTACAAATTGTATGTAAACTCACAAAAACCATATAATTACACATCAAGTACCTAAGCAGGCTACAATATCAAACTAGCCCCCTCAATTCTTTTTGGAGCATTTTTACCCTACTTCCTAGATTTTTTCCCAATTGCGTTTACGAAGCCCACACTTATATGAATATTTCATTTCAGCCCCAAATTTTGCAGGAATTTTTGCACAACTGCATATAGTTCTAATCTTTATCATACCAAAATAGTTTTCAAGAATATCCATTCCCTGATTTGTTGATCCTTTTCTTATAGTTCGAAACACTGCACTGTGGGCATATGTATTCCAGCCCGTCCGTCTTGGCATAATCCTAAAATAC